GCCTCCCAAAGGTGCAGGATTACAGGCTGAGCCACCGAGCCCAGCTGGTTGTGGGTTTTGACATATCTGGTGGCTCCAGGAGAAACTGGAACAAGGGCTTGCCTTCATTTTGTCACATAGTGTTCCTGGAGCTGGTGGCTTTATCTGAAAGTATTTAAAAGCACAAGTAGTGGCTGCTGTAGTCTGGGACAAGGTACAAGAGTTCAGACAATAGAAAAACCAAAAAGCCTAGAAAGAGGTCAGGAGAGGAGATACATGAGGGCGGGGCTTTACAAGCTCTCATTTATGCTGGGGAGTCAAAAAGGCCATGACACAAGCCCAGGGCTAGACCCATGATCAGAGAAGACCAGAGAAAACACTAAGCTTTCTCCTCTGGCTGACCTTCAGGACCCATGCAAGCAAGAAGTGATGGCTACGGCAAAGTTGGAAACAACCTGGCTAAGTGTTAAAGGAATGCTCCGATTCAGAGCCAATCTGTAAATACTGGGAGGGTAATTTTTTCTTCTATTTTAAAAATGTTTTTGAGTCAGGGCCACACTTTGCTGTCCAGGCTGGAACATAGTGGCATGATCACAACTCACTGCAGCCTCCAACTCCTGGGCTCAAGCAGCCTTCTGAGTAGCTGGAGCAAGATGTGTGCCACCATGCCCAGCTAATTTTTTTATTGTAGAGATGAAGTCTCATCATGTTGCCCAGGCTGGTAACCCGTGGCTCGGGCAATCATCTCACCTCTGCCTCCCAAAGTGCTGGGATTACAGGTGTGAGCCACTGCCCCCAGTCTGGGTTTAATTTTTCTCAGCAGTATATTGCAGGTCACATGTAGAGATATTTTACATTTTTCATTTTTATCCCTAGATATTTCATAATTCTTGATTCTTGTAAACTTTAAAATTAGTTTCCAGTTGTTTGTCTGTATACAGAAATGCAATTAATTTTTGCTTATTGATCTTGTTATCCTGCAACCTTGCTAAACTTATTAAAAGAAAAATGTTAGCCGGGCATGGTAGCGCGCGCCTATAGTTCCAGCTACTCAGAAGGCTGAGGCGGAAGGATCGCCAGAGCTCAGCAGGGCGAGGAGCGGCCACTGTACTCCAGTCTGGGCGATTGAGTGAGACTCCAACTCAAAAAAAAAAAAAGAAAAGAAAAACGAACCCAGGCATAGTGCCTCATGCCTGTAATCTCAGCACTTTGGGAGGCTGAGGAGAGGATCATTTGAGGCCAGGAATTCAAGACCAGCAACATAGCAAGACCTCATCTCTACAAAAAGTAAAAGTAGCAGAGTGTGGTGGTGTGTGCCTGTAGCCCCACCTACTCAGGAGGCTGAGGCAGAAAGACTGCTTGAGCCCAGATGGTCAAGGCTCCAGTGAACTATGATTGTGCCACTGCAATCCAGACTGGGTGACAGAGTGAGACTTCAAGTAAAAAAAAAAGTTTCATACAGTCTTCCTCCCTTTTTGGTCCTTCAACCTCTGCCATGTGAGGAGACTGTTTCTTCCCTCTGGAGGAGCATCAGGGCACCATCTTAGTAGAAAGCAGCCCTTTCCAGACAACCAAACCCACTGGCACTTCTCAGCCTTCAGAACTGTGAAAAAAAAAATTTGTTTTTTTTTTTTTGATTTTTTGAATTGGAGTCTCACTGTCGCCCAGACTGGAGTGCAGTGGCCGCTCCGGCCACCGCAGCCTCGACCTGCTGGGCTCCCGCGATCCTTCCGCCTCAGCTTTCCAAGTAGCTGGAACTACAGGCGCGCGCCACCATGCCCAGCTAATTTTTTTGACTTATTGTAGAGACAAGGTTTCACCAAGTTACCTGGGCTGGTTTCGAACCCCTGGGCTCAAGCAGTCCTCTCGCCACAGCTTCCCAAACTGTTGGCATTACAGGCTTGAGCCACTGGACCCAGCCTACAGGCCCTCTTAATGCTATCATATTGGCCATACCTGAATTTTGGAGGGGACACATTCAAACCATAGCAGACCTGTATCTAGAATATAGAGAACTCTCAAAACAGTAAGAACAGAAACAACCCAACTTTAAAAAAAAATTTCTTTATTAAGAGAAATAAAAGAAGACTTAAAATATCATGTTTCTGGTTGGGCAGACCTAATCTTGTAAGAACATCCATTTCTCCCAAATGAGGAGTAATGCAGTCCCAATTATAATCTCTTGAGGATGGATTTTAATTTAATAATATGTTTCTGAGGTTCATCTGACGTGGCAGCTCTCTTCCTGGGTCCCTGAGACTCTCCAGGGCATCCTTTGACATCTAGGTGGAAGCAACCTTGCCGTCACAGCTCTTGCATTCTTTGCGCCTGTAGAGTCACCCCAACTTTTTAAATGGCCAAAAAATAGTGAATAGGCACATCACCAAAGAAAATAGGATGACAAATAAGTATATGAAAAGATGTTCTACATTAGTCACCAAGGAACCGCAGATGAAGACTGCAGAGAGACACCATTTCACACCCAGTAGAATGACTAAAATGACCAAGAATGACTGTACCAAATGTTGGTGAAGACGTGGCGAAACTAGGCACCTTGTACATTACTGGTGGGAATGTAAAATGGTACACGCACACTGGGAGACAGTTTGGCAGTTCTTTAAAAGTTCAGTGTCAGGCTGGACTCGGTGGCTCAGCCTGTGATCCCGCACTTTGGGAGGTCGAGGTGAGTAGATTGCCTGAGCCCGCAGGTTCGAGACCTGCCCAGGCAACTTGGCGAGAATTCATCTCTACAATAAAATCAAAAATTAGCCGGGCGTGGTAGCACGCGCCTGTAGTTCCGG